ACTAGAGGAATATAATCAGAAATTCAAAACTCTGGCATAGTCAGCTAAGTCTTAATCAAACATTTACAGGTTTCATTCAGCAGTATGTCTACCAGCAGAATGGACATGACTAGCAGAAGAGTTCCTTCTCTCATCTGCCTTAAATCAGACATCAAAGGGGGGGGGAATGGAGAGAAGGAAGCTCAGCTGCATGAGAAAAAATCAATTCACACAATTCTGAATGGAACCCTAAATTACAGTTTTAGCTACGAGGGTAACCTCTTAGACACAAGAAAAACTCCTGTGATTAGATGAAAGGGTAGATGGAGATTCTTTCATATCAGATATTTTAGTGCATAAGAAATGAGCAAGTTTCATGGGCAAAAGTGAATAGTAATACAGTTTTCTTCTTCAAGAAGTCTACATGCATGTGCACATACTTATACACAGACATCTCAACTAGACCAAAATACCATAGGTGGACTATGCACGGTAGCACAGGTGGCTGAAGTTGTGAGAATCCTTGTTTCTGCTCATTTACAATACTCAAGGGTATTGGTGTCTTCCTATGCAGTTTCCTTCTGTCAAAGATCCTGAGGAGCTGTGATGAGGATTTTTAAAAAAAGGAATTGGAAAATTTCCCAGTGTTCTAAATAGTGTATTTAATTTATGCCTACTGAAAATTCCCAATACAGTGAAAGCATTTGAACTGAAATATCCATTTAAAGAGGGGGAGGGGAATGAAAAACACAATGTTATTTGACTATTACAGTCAAACAAACTCAAAGCTTTGTAAAGAAACTATTTTTCTTAGAATCTTTGTTTAAAATTCTTTAGAACATGTACTACTTTTACATCATTTTCATTTACTGGAAAAAGAAATGGCTGAAATCCTGTTGTGCAGTTATGCAAACTATGTAATTTTTGGAGCAAAGTGTTGGAAGGTAAAAAAATCTCTACAGACATTATCTCATATATACCAAGTCATGTGACTTGGCATACAACAGATAATGCCTAAAGAGAATCATTAACATACAGCAATTCACAGGATTTCAGCCACTGAAAGCTGTTGACACTTAACTTTAGCACATACAGCAAAACAGTACAGTACATGATTCGCTGTTTTCATGTATTCCCAGAAGCCGTTAACCCTCTTCCGCTGGGGTCACCTCTAGTTTCACCGTCACTTCCTGAAGAATCACTTACGTACATTACTTAGCTCAGTCTTGGAGTGAGGCAAATCTGATTCAAAAGTATCTAAATCACATTGCTGTTTGAAAAAGAATTTCTGTGGGCAAGGGAAACATTACATTGCAGCTTCTGCATTAACACTTAATTTGTTTAGTACTTATGAATTACTTTTATTAATAATACCTAAATACCTTGGAAAGAGTTGCCCTCAATTGGATTTGACTTGACAGTATGTAACTTTTAAAATCGTTTTTTAAGGAATTGAATATTTCTCTGTGCAATCATTGAGTACTAGATGAGTTTCCACCCACATCACTCCGCGTGATGTAGGCCAGAAGCATAGTTCAGAGAGGTAGCCACAGGCTAAGAATTAAGGAATAGGGTAGGCCCAGGTTCAAACTCCGGCATCTCCTATGAGTCCTATGTGAAATTGTCAATCAGTTTTGAAAAATCCTGAGAAGGGCCAATAGACTTGCCTTGTTACTGGACAGCTTCCGGTGTGTCTATATATGTATTGTTGGTCCCCATCCTGCTCCTAGTTTTCTTTTCAAGGAACCCAAGTCTGATGGGAGGCTGAAGCTTTTTAGTAATACACCTGCCTTTTTGAATCCCACAGACTGGAAAAGTATCTTTTACTACCACAGTTAGAGTCCAGCTCTTGCCAACTTACTGCCTAGCACTGCAGCCAATGCACCTCCAATTTTCTCTGCCGACTCCTATGTTAAAACAGTACTGTACTTCATTTATTCAGACTGCCTTTAACAGGAGCAAAGGTAATGTTCTTGCTTACTTTGTCATATACAGACTTGTCCCAAAATTTGTCTGAACAAGTGGAGGTCAGCATAACCTGATGGGCTGCTGTGAGTTAGCCCACACTAGATCAGGATTCTGATTGGCTCAGTGCAACTGAACGTTTATCCTTCAAATTCTGTGGAAATCTGGATGGTGAAGAACATGCTCAGTAGAAATCTTAAAAAAAATTGATGACACTTTTCCAACCCTGCTTTGGAACTTACCTGAAAAGATTAATATACAAAAAATAGTAACTTTCATTTGTATGCTACTTGACACCACCTTTCAGAAGATACATGTGTCTCTTCCCCACGTCAAGAAATTGTTTCCAATAGAGAGGGACACAAGTCAGAAAAATGGTGATTTGTCAAGGCTGGTGAATCACAAACTTATGATTATTTTCCCTGATGGGTTGATTTGTCAATTCCTTTTTTACTTTTAAACCCTATGCACCTAACTCTCCTCTATAAGCCCTGCAAGTTTGGTGAAGTTTGGGTTTCAGACATCCAAGTTACACTCGGAGGAACCCAATCTTCACCAAACTTGGAAGGATTGTAGAGGAGAGTCAGAGGAAGCTTCCCTGTAATTTTGGTGTCTCTAGGTGCCCGGGGGCCCAATTTATAGCCAAATAAATTAATGAATCAAAAATGGTTAAAAATTCATTGACTCGTATTCATTGGGGGCATTGATTTGTATGAATACAAATTAATGATTTTTGAACAAATTTGGTGATTATTTAATTCATGCCCATCTCTAGTTTCCACATAAACAACCCTGAGCTAGCATTTCAGAGTGCTGTAGCCTATTTTGCTAGTCTGTACAACAACCCTATGAAGTAGGTCAGAGTATTTATTCCCGTAATTGCTGACTGAGGGCAGAGGCAAAACAGCTTCCTTTATTACCAACTGACATATCTATGGCAAAGGCAATATTGTGCTGCTTGACTTGCTGTTCACAGCTAACATTAAATGCCCCCAGGCTTAAAATGACACACAAGGAAAAGAAAAGGATGAGGGGGAAAAATCTCTCAGTGACTCTGGCTAGCCTGCTTGTTGAGAAATAGGACTACAGGTAGCTGATGCCTCAGAAGAGGGGATGCAGCAGCTGTTTCCCTTCTAAGCTGGTCTTGTCTTTATCACACTGCAATAGCTTCCTGAAAACAGAAGGTATGTGCTAAGATTTCAGTTTGTATTTCAATTTAGAGACTAATAGGGGAAATGGTCACTGAAGGATATGATGTAGGAGGGGGGGGGGAGAGAGATGCATTTCTATTTTACTTCCAGAAAACTCTTCTTTTTCACTTGTCTTCCTTTTGCTCTGTCCTGCGGAATCTCTTCAATGCTGCCACTGAGTTATACCTTGAACTATGGTTGCTGTGAGTCTTTAGCAGTTCAGACCTCAGATATGGGGCTGGAGCCAGCTGGGGGGCAGAGGAGTATTATCTGGCAGGGCAAAAATCTTTCAAAACAGAGAGAATAGCAAAGGATGAAACTTTTGGCGAAGCAGAAAAACTAAGCATTCCATCTGAAATCCTGTTGCTTTGTGTTCCAAGCCACACTAGAGGGGGCTCACAGAATCAGTGGGGATCCGGTGAATCGACTCATCTGCAAGTTCCACTGATTTCATATGGATCTACCTGAGCGCCCTAAGGAAGGGGATTTCAGCCTTTTCTGTATTTATTTTTGGGCTAAACCCCTTTGGGATGGCAAGCCTGCAAGAGGTGGCTGACACCTTCCCATTTCGGATCAACCGCAAAGCTTACATGCAGAACATAGTCTGCCAAGGCCGGTGAAGGAGGGGGGACGTCTTTTCAGGCAAGGCAAGAGGCCGCTGCCTTTCCTCTCTCGCCCGGACTCGGACCAGGCGTTGCAACGTTTGCTTTGTCTCTCTGCACCCAAAGGCTCCAGGGTCAAAACCCCCAGCAGCGCTTCCTTGTCGGGACAAAAAGCTTCAAAGCCTGGGAATCCTGAGCCGCTACCGCCGCTCCTTTATAGGGGCGAAGAGCAAGCAATGGGGAGCCGCCCAGATCAACCCCAGGCCAACACGGGTCACGGTCATGGATGATGGGAATGGTAGTCCAACACACCCCAGGGAGGGCCCAGGGAGGTCTCTTTCCCCGCCTCCCCACGCGTGGTCTGAGCCAACCCTCTGCTTCCACTCCCGAAGCCCTCCAAGGGCCGAGAGCAAGGAGAGATCGCGCTTCCCTGAAAGAAACGCGTGGGTTCCTCCTCCTCCTTCGAGCAAGTTCGAAAAGATGCGTGACGGAAGTGGGGAGGGGGAAGCCCTTTGCATGCTGGGAAACGTAGTTTCTTCCCTCGCGTTCCTGACTACTGTACTGTACACTAGTACTTCCCTCCCGGAGAGGCCGCCAAGCATGCCGGGCATTGTAGTCTTTTCCCCCGGCGGTGGCCGCAAAGGCTTTCGGGAGCTGTCCTCTTCCCTGAGGAGGAGCGCCGTTTCTCTGCGGCTGAGGTGGGGGGGAGGTGGAGACGAGGAGGCAACAGCCGCCGCCGCCGCCGCCGCCGCGAGGGCGACATAGGCACTGCTGCAACCGCGGCCGCCGCTTTTGCTCGCTACCTCACTTCCTCTTCCGGGCGCGCGGCCGAGGCGGTGGCGGGTCA